GAGGAAGAGGAAGAGGAAGAAGAGGAGGAGGAGGAAGAAGAAGAAGAAGAAGAAGAAGAAGAAGAAGAAGAAGAAGAAGAAGAAGAAGAAGAAGAAGAAGAAGAAGAAGAAGAAGAAGAAGAAGAAGAAGAAGAAGAAGAAGAAGAAAGTGTTTCCCTTCTCATCCAAGAAACTTCACTGGTTCTGATCAGGGATGGCTTCGGAAATTTTAACAAAGGGTTCTCATGGGCGTGGCCATGGTGGGCGTGGCGTAGTGGGCCTCCTGCACCACGGTGAGGGGGGTGGGGGCGCTGGCGTTTTTGCCCTCTCCGGGTTCCGGAGGCTCACTGGAAGCCAGAAATGGGCCTGTTTCTGGCCTTTCGAAACTTCTGGGAGGCCCGTTTTTCACCCTCCCCGAGCCTCCGTGCACGGCCTGCACTTCCCTGCATCCAAAATGGGCCATGTGGGGACGCCTGAGAATGGAGGAGGGTGGGGCCAGCCAGGAGTGGGATTTGGGGGTCCTCTGAACTGTCAAGCCCGTCAGAATCTGATTCGGAGCGGGAGGCCGAGCAGCTGACAGGGAGTGGGAACGTGGCTCCGTTGGCTGTGGAAGAGCACAGCCCAGCTGGGCAGAGCAGGGGAGAGGGAGAACAAGGGAGAGGGAATTTGGAGGAAGACCCAGGTCCACCCGCTCTTCGTCCTAAGGGACGCAGGGAGGAATGGAGAAGGGAGCAACGTGGGTTGCGTGGCTTACGGGGGAGGGAAGGGCCCTGATTCCCTTCCTTAGCTGCAGCTGGGAACCCAGTGCTTAAAAAGGGAAGCTGCGCACAGAAAGTTGTTGGGAGCAAATCAGGAATTTATCTGGTATCGTGGAGGCTTATCTGGGTTCTTGGCATCTTCCCAACTGTGTGTGTTTTGCTGGCCTTTCAAGTCTGCAATTCCTTCTCCTGCCCTGTCAAAGTTAATTACTGCAGCCTGGTTTGTGTGGATTTTTAGTTATACTGTAGTTTGTGTGTACTTTGTTTTCAGACTGAATTTCCTCCACTTAAAAGGCTGTTCCTGGGACAGTTTTTCTCCAGCTGAAAGTAACCTGGACATGGGGGGCAAAACTGGAGATAATAAAGGGGTTCTTCTTGCTTATTTTGACTGTGTTGCCTTTGTGCCACGCCCCTTGGGGTCCTCACATACACAGAATCTTAGCTAGGGGCTCCCCCAAACCCCTGCAAACCCCGAGCAGCCCATCCCTGGTTCTGATAGGGGTGGGGAGGATGGAAGGATAAAGTACTGCCAGCTGAGACTGGGTGCGTGTGGAAGGACAGATTCTGATAGGATGGCGGGGGTGGTGGGGGGTGAGGAGTGGATAGGACAGGTAGTCCTCAACGGACGACCACAATTGAGCCCCAAGTGTATGTTGTTAAGTGAGAAATTCCCTCAGTGAGCTCTGTCCCATTTTAGGACTTCCCTCACCACCTTCGTTAAGTGAATCGCTGCAGTTCTTAAATTAGGTTGTGATTTAGTTCCCCCTTGGATTTGCTCGTGGGAAGGTCACGAAAAGGGATAATGGGAGTCTGGGAGAATCTACAGACTTCTTTCAAAAAGATGGGAGAAATTCTAAATGGCCCCATTAATGAGCAGGAACACTTATTATGTAACAATAAAATAAAATAAAATAAAATAATAATAACCGAGTTGCTAAAATTGTTCACTGGAAACCGTGCCAAAAGTTTGGGTTTGAGTATAGTAACAACTACTGGGAATATCAGGTTGAGAAGGTTCTGGAGAATGGAAAAGCCAAGATCTTGCAGGACTTCTGAATTCAGACGGACGGGCACTTGGCCCACCACACACCTGACGTAACAATAGTTGAGAAGAAAAAGGATTTGGTTCATTGACATGGCAATACCTGGTGACGCACGAATTGAAGACACGCAGCAAGAAAAAAATCACAAAGTATCGGGACTTACAAATTGAAGTTGAGCGACTTTGGAAAAAGAAATTGTGCGTTACTCCAATTGTGATTGGAGCCCTTGGAGCAAGACCTAAAGGGCTGCCTCGCTATTTGGAAATCCTGAATTTATCAGACTTGAATACCCTGATTCTACAAAAAACCACCCTATTTGGAACAGCTTATATCCTCCGACGCTACCTGAACAGTTCCTAGGTCCTTGGTTAGGACTCGAGCGGTTGAGCTACCAACCAGCCCCAAAGGATGTGAATCTCACCAAAGATTAACAACAACAATAGCTGTCTTTCAATATTTGAAGAGCTGCCACAAAGAAGAGGGGGGTCAACTTATTTTCCAAGCACCCAAAAGCAGGACAAGAAGCAAGGGATGGACATTGTGGGCGCTCCAACCTTGGAGGCTTTTAAGGAGAGATTGGTTTATGCAGAAGAACACAGCGCCTCCTGTTTGAGCAGAGGGGTTGGACTAGAAGACCTCCCCAGGTCCCTTATAACCCTATTATTCTAGGTTCTAAGTTTTAAGAACCAACATCCGGAGTCAAAGCCTGGTCGCTATCAGTGCCTAAACTCTGTGCTATCGACAGATCAGAAGAACTAGGAGGGATGTGATAGAAAGGGTCCAACTTTTGAGGGGCTGCCCCAAAGGAGAAGAAGAAGAGGGGTGAGGGGATTCCCATTTATTCCTCAAAGCCCCCGAAGGCAGGACAAGAAACAATGCATGGAAACTAATCAAGGAGAGAACCAACCTGGAACTAAGGAGAAATTTCTCGAAAATGAGGACAATTAACCAGTGGAACAGCCTGCCACCAGAAATGGTGGGTGCTCCATCCCTGGAGGAAGAGACCGGACAGTCACTTGTCTGAGACAGGACTGGACTAGAAGACCTCCAAGGCCCCTTGCAGCTCTATTCTGAGTGATTTTGCTGAAGAAACATACCCTGCAGGGGATCCTCAACCAGGGGGCCCGTTGGTGTGTCCAACCTGCCCATGCGCAAGTTGCCTGACACTCTTCAGTGGCAACCACTGTGACCTCATCGCCTCAACCCACACTACACCCATCACCGATCTTTCCTCTTGAAGGACCCAACGTGGCTTTTTCCACCTGGGAAACCCCGAAGGATCGCGGTCCCAGAACAAAAATCTTGTTTTGACAATATAGCTGCCCGGGATCTCCAAGTCTGCAAATGCTACGCAGTTGGAAGGATTTGTCCTTCCGTACGGACACCCAAGATGACACAAGGCGCCACGAAGGTGGGTAGCTGGGAAAGACAGATAAAGGGGTTTTGGAAGGACGAGGAGAGAATTCAAAAAACGGGACCGAGTTATACAAATAAATCTCTCCTTGTTCCGTTTCCATCCATTATTCCTTGTCTGGCCTACTTTAGGCCAGACAAGGAAGAATGGATGGAAATGGAACAAGGAGAGATTCAACCTGGAAATAAGGGGAAACTTTCTGACAGGGAGAACAATCCACCCATGGAACAGAAGTTGCCCTCAGAAGTTGTGGGAGCTTCATCACTTGAGACTTTCAAGAAGAGATTGGACTCCCATCTGTCAGAAATGGTGTAGGGTCTCCTGCTTGGGTGGGGGGTTGGACTAGATGACCTACAAGGTCCGTTCCAACTCTGTTAATCTGAATCTGTCTAAGATGATCAAAGGCCTGGAGACTAAAACATACGATGAACGGTTGCAGGAACTGGGCCTGGCTAGTCTAGGGAAGAGCAGGACCAGGGGAGGCAGGAGAGCCAATATTTTCTTCTTCCAATATTTGAGGGGCTCCCCCAGAGAGGAGGAAGGGGTCAAACTATTCTCCAAGGCACCTGAAGGCCAGAAAAGGAATAAAGGATGGAAACTGAACAAGGAGAGAGATTCAACCTGGAAATAAGGAGGAAGTTTCTGACAGGGAGAACAATCAACTAATGGAACAGAAGTTGCCTTCAGAAGTCATGAGAGCTTCAACACTGGAGGCTTTCAAGAAGAGACTGGACTTCTATCTGTCAGAAATGGTGTAGGGTCTCCCGCTCGGGTAGGGGGGTTAGACTAGATGACCTACAAGGTCCCTTCCAATTCTGATTATCTGTTATCTGTTAAATCCAACACAGGTAGCCAGGGGTGAGATTCTACCGGTTCGGATCGGTTCGGGCGAACTGGATGTTAAAGTTACAGCTGGTTCGCCGAACCAGTATTTCAACCGTCCTCCTTGCCCCGCCCAACCTGCCCCGCCCGGGAGTCTCCACGCGGCCCATTTTGGATGCAGGCAAGCGCAGGGCTCACACGGAAGCTCTGGCAGGTGGGGGGAAACGGGCCTGTTTCCAGCTTCCGGTGGGCCTCCACAGCCCAGGGGAGGCTATTTTTTACCATCCCAGAGGCCCAGGGGAGGGCTCTGGACCCTTGGGATGGCGAAAACGGCCACCGCCGGCTTCTGCGGGTCCACCGGAAGCCAAAAACAGGAAATTCCGGTAGGCCCCGCCCACCATGGCCACGCCCACCCAGCAACCAGGCAGCGAACCGGTTACTGGGATTTTTGGAATCCCACCCCTGCAAGTAGTCCTCAAGTTATGACCACAACTGAGCCCCAAAGGTATATCTTGAAGCGTGACACGGGGGAAGTGAGTTTTGTCCCGTTTTACGACGTTTGTTTTCACGGTGGTTAACTGACTCTTGCTTCCCTGTCAACATCACCCGTCAAGATCGTGTGACACACCCCCACACACACCCCAGGGACGCTGTGACCGTCATTAAATGTGAATCAGTTGTCTCAAGCACCTGAATGTAAATCGTCCGACCCCGGGGAGGCTGCAACAGTCGTGCTGTTGTAACTGTGGACAGTTGCTAAGTGAACTGTTATACGCCGAGGAGTCCTTGTGCGAAGTACGCTGGCTGGGGGAAATTCTGGGAGTCAAAGCCCACCCGGCTTCAAAGGGGAAAGTTGGAGAAAGAGCGCTGCTAAAGACACTCTAAATCAGGGGTGCCAAACTCAAGGCCTCCAGGGAGGATCTGGCCAGAGGGAGGCTTAGATCTGGCCCACGGGAACGCCCTGGAAACAGCGCAAGGACCGGCCCACAGTGCCTCTGCCAGCGAAAACGGAGCTTGGGACGAAGAGCGCTGCCGGCAGCTCTCATGAGCTCCGTTTTCGGCTGCACCTGCCTCCTACAGCGCTCTGCCAAAGGAAAGGAACTCAGGAGCACTGCGCACGGCTCTCCCGAGCTCTGTTTTTGGTTGTGGTGGCCTCTTGCAGCGCTCTGCCAAAGGAAAGGAGCTCAGGAGCACTGCGCACGGCTCTCCCGAGCTTCGTTTTTGGTTGTGGTAGCCTCCTGCAGCGCTCTGCCAAAGGAAAGGAGCTCAGGAACACTGCGCACGGCTCTCCCGAGCTCCGTTTTTGGTTGTGGTGGCCTCCTGCAGCGCTCTGCCAAAGGAAAGGAGCTCAGGAGCACTGTGCACGGCTCTCCTGAGCTCCGTTTTCGGCTGCAACTGCCTCCTGCAGCGCTCTGCCAAAGGAAAGGAGCTCAGGAGCACCACGCACAACCCTCCCGAGCTACGTTTTCGCTGCAGAGAGCTGGAGGAGGCCATCACAACCGAAAACGAAGCCTGAGGGGGAGGCTGCCCCCAACACAAGCGGTATCAAGGTGGCCACACACACCTCCGCTCAAAGCCCCCAAGGTCAAGCGCAAGCCCTGATGCGGCTCTCAAGGAAATCAAGTTTGACACCCCTGCTCTAAATCACCAGGAACGGATTACCTCTGGGACCGACCACCGTCGGTGCCGCTGCCCCCGCTTTCTCCTCCATCCAGGCCACCCTGGGAGCGGCCGTCTTACTATAAATGCCCTCTTTGTGTCTGACGATTGCCATGTCCGAAGGATGATCCTTCCTCGAACCCAGGACCTGCGGGGGGAAATCCGGAGGGACGGCGTCGTTGGAGCCTGTGTGGAAAGAGAGCCGTAGGGATAACGTTCAGAAAAGAGAGAAACTGGAAGAAAAAAAAGACGGCAAATCGGATTAGAAAAGGCCGCAGAACAGCTATAATGTGGAGTAATATTAAACTAAAGAGAGGAGGATGAAGGTCTGGCACGTCTGTAGCTTCTGCTCTTATCGCTTCCCGTTAGCTCAGGAAATCCTCAGTTGTTCATCCCATTGTAATTCTAACCGAAACGCAACGGCGGTTTAAATGACCTCCCATCTGTTCGGCAGCCATCCAAAACGACGCCTCCCGTTTCTTCAAATCCCGACGTTTAGTTTTAGAAGTCGAGGCGGCTCTAAAATGCAAGAAATCATGGTGGGGCTTAGAGGCGAACATACCTGAATGGGAGCTCTCCACAGTGGTCTCAGACCGGACCCGTGAGAGTTTTAAGGTTCCTTTTCCACAGGGAACGTAATACACCTCGGAGCAGCCGGGAGGTTTGTAGGGCAACACCAAGGGCTTCTCTGAAGAAACAAAGACGGAGGTTGGATTACTGCAAGAGTCTGCAAGAGTGTTTCCCAGAGGCCTGGCAAGCGGCCATCGACAGGCACAGTGAGAGATCAACGACATTGACGTACCGTTCGTAAGAGACAAGCCAAAAAAAAAGGAAAGGAAAATAAAAAACAACCCCGAAACGGCGCCTTGCCAGCAATCGACCACCTCTAATAAGCCAAAGCCAGACACCGCAGTGGCTTCAGACTTTGGGACGTTGATGCTTAAGCAAGGAAGAGGGAACGAGCTTTCCTAGGCGGACGAAGGTCGAATGACTCAAAAGACAGGGACTGGGTGCTGTAAACCCCCCCCCCCCCCGCCCGGGAAAGTATCTTGATAAATGGAATTGTGCCCCGTCTTATGACTTTTCTTACCACAGTTGTTAAGTGAATCGAGGCAGGTGTTAAGTTAGTAACACAGTTGTTAAATGAACCTGGCTTCGCCCTTGGCTTGGCTTATTAGAAGAGAGAGGGAGGGGTAGATAGGTAGAAGAGAGGGAGAGACAGAGAAAGAGAGGGAAAGGGAGAAAAATCGAGGGAGGGAGGGAGAAAGAGAGAACAAAGATAGATGGATAGACAGATAGATGGATGGATGGATGGATGGATGGATGGATAGATAGATAGATAGATGTAGATAGATGGATGGATAGATAGATGGATGGATGGATAGATAGATCGATAGATATAGATGGATGGATGGATAGATAGATCGATAGATAGATAGATGGATGGACGGACGGACAGACAGATAGATAAATAGATAGATGTAGATAGATAGATGGATAGATAGATAGATGTATATAGATGGATGGATGGATGGATGGATGGATAGATAGATAGATAGATAGATAGATAGATAGATAGATAGATAGATAGATAGATAGATAGATAGATAGATAGGATAGATAGATAGGATAGATAGACAGACAGACAGACAGACAGGAGGGAGGGAGAGAAAGAGGGAGAGAGAGAAAAATAGACAGAGGGAAGGAGGGAGAGAGAGGGAGGGAGAGAGGGAAAGAGATAGAGAAAGAGAGAAAGGGAGAGAGAAAGGGAGAGAGAAAGAGGGAGTGAGGGAGAGAGAAAGGGAGGGAGAGGGAGGGAAAGAGAGGGAGACAGATAGAAGAGGGAGAGAAAGAGAGGGAGACAGATAGGGAGAGAGAGAGATAAGGATAGGGAGAGAGGGAGGGAGAGAGAGAAAGAGAGGGATAGGGAGGGAGGGAGAGATTTCTCACCTCCGCTTTGTCCGTCCGAAACAGAGATTTTGGAGAGCATCATCTCGTCAGGGGTTTTGTGACCCTTCGGATAAGGAGCTTCTCCATTCTCAGCTGTGACAAAGATTTCGGCAGAATAGGTGGTCTTCTCCGGGCTTTCGGTTGTGATTTGAGTGATGGCATCCGAAGACCCCCATTCGGTTTGGGAAGAAGCCGTAGCCTTCAAGCGGTCCCTTGCACTCCAACACCGAGTCCCGGCGTCTCTTGGGGACGGGGCTACTTCACCGAGATCTCGGCTTGCCCGGGGCTCTTGAGCGTGTGGTAGGGCTGGTCTAGCCCCCTTCGGAACCTCTTGAGGGGATGCCTCTCGGGGGAAGTAGAAGGATTCTTGAGTCTTTCGCTTAGATTCTAGGGGCTTGGAGGTAGCTTCTAAGGACAGACCGGAAACACCTGAAGAGGTTGGCTTAAGAACCTCGACCTCTCTCCCTTCCGGACCAATATCCACTGGTCCCGAGAGGTCCAATTCCACCCGCTTTGGAGAGAGAGTAAGGTGGACACCGGAAAGGGCTTTCCTGGTGGGCGACGTAGGAGACACCGGTACAGCTGTGGAAATACAATCGAGGGAAGCCGACTGTAACAAAGTACTCCCACTGCCTCCGCTTCTGGGCTTGTGTAAATATGAATCAGAAGTAGACAAATCTTCTCTTCGCCGCGTCTTTTCTTTGCCTTCGGGGAAAAGGGGCTTGGGAGCGCCTCCTGCCTCAGTTGGCGAGCAATTCTGGGGACGCACCTCACCCGTCTTCGGCGGAGGCGACGCCACCGGCCTTTCCATTTTAGATCCGTCGGCGTAAATATTATCCAGCGTTTTCGCGTATCGCCTCTGCTCGGCAAGACCTGGATCGGAAGCTTGCTCGTCCTCGCGGGCCTGGCGATCGAGGTCCTTCAGCTCGGCACCCCTTCTTGGGGATCCCTCCAGGGAAGGACCCAGAACTTCTTGACGGGGGTCGTCCCTGGCCACCTTGGTAGACCCAAAGGGTGGAGATCCAACGTCCTTCTCTGAAGCGCGAGCGGAAGCGACGCCGGCGGAAGGGCGAGCTTGGTAACTTGGCAGCTGTGAGCCACCCAACTTCTGGCGTTCCCGGTTCACGGACCGGGTTTCCAAAGATACGGGATCGCGAGGGGGAACGTCGGCAAGGAGAGTCCGGGGAGGGCGGGAAGCGGGAGAAGGCGACCTCCTCCGAGAGGCGAAGGTGATAGAGGTAATTTGAATAGCTGCTTCTACGGAGGTGCTGCTCTCGGACAGATCCAGTGGGGTTGCTACATTCCCGTCCTCTTTCGCAGGGGCCTTCGAGGCCCCTTGGAAATGCACCTCCAAGGGAAGGTGAGAATGGGCTTTGGAGTCCAAGGCGTTACTGGGAGGTGGCTGCCGTTGGCCGGAGTCAGGAATCTGGGCACCGTGGGAGAGTTCGGCCTCCGGCTCGGCTGTTAAGGCGCCATCCGTCGCAGCCTCCATGTTTTCCCCGGAGAACTCGGCCAGCTGCAAACCGTATTTCTGAAGGGCCATTTGCAGGTCGTGGTCTCTTGGCTTCTGCAAGGAGCCCGGTTCTACTGTTGCAGCCGGGTTGGCGTTTGGAAGTCTCCGGAAGCTGCTTCTCCACTGCTGGTTCTATTCAGGATTCAAAAGGGAAGAGGTTCACAAGGGGCAGATAATAACACCAGAGGACGGTGGGTTTAAATAGGAGCTTTTAATGCCCATCTGACAAAATGAAGAGTGAGGTAAGGACTTGAATTTTTCATTTACCTCCAAATTCTCAGAGAAATAGAGATTTTGGGGGATGTTAGGAGCGACTTTGGTCTAGTGGTAAAGGCACTAGCCTTGCAAGTGGGTAACTCTGTCTAGAGTCTATTCATGAACTGGAATAGAGGTTGGTAACAAGGTCAGCCAATGAATAGGCGTAGCAACTAAGTCAGTAACAATGAGGACTGTTTGGAAACTGAAACTAGAAGTAGCCTAGGCATGGCAGCTATGTTAAGCTCTGCAACTTTGCAGCCATGTGAGAGGTCTGAGGTCTGTTTCTTGAGCTGACGCTGAGTTGCTGTTCCGCTCTGCACTTGTAACACGCCTGCCGAAGTTACTTGTGACATGCTTTTGTTTGAGTTTGCTCCATGTTGGAGGAATCTACAGCTGGTTTGTAAAATCTACTTGTTATGTTTATAAAGAGGTTAAATGAAGCATCAGCCATTCCTCCATGTTGGAGGAATCTACAACTGGTTTGTAAAATCTACTTACTATGTTTATAAAGATGTTAAACGAAGCATCAGCCATCGGTGTTTGTTTTTCTGGCGCTGAATTAACGCTGCAAAACTCTGAATACTCTGGGCCGATCACCAGGAGACGGTGAGTTCTAATCCCATTTTAGGCCTGAAAGCCAACTGGGTGACTTTGGGCCAATCACCAGGAGACGGTGAGTTCTAGTCCCACCTTAGGCATGAAAGCTGGCTGGGTGACTTTGAGCCAATCACCAGGAGACGGTGAGTTCTAGTCCCATTTTAGGCCTGAAAGCCAACTGGGTGACTTTGGGCCAATCACCAGGAGAAGGAGAATTCTAGTCCATTAAAGCTAACTGAGGGACTTTGGGCCAATCACTAGGAGACAGGGAGTTCTAGTCCTGCCTTAGGTATGAAAGCCAACTGGATGACTTTGGGCCAATCACCAGGAGATGGTGAGTTCTAGTTCTACCTTAGGCCTGAAAGCCAGCTGGGTGACTTTGGGCCAATCACCAGGAGACGGTGAGTTCTAGTCCATTAAAGCTAACTGAGGGACTTTGGGCCAATCACTAGGAGATAGGGAATTCTAGTCCTGCCTTAGGTATGAAAGCCAACTGGATGACTTTGGGCCAATCACCAGGAGACGGTCAGTTCTAGTCCCGTCTTAGGCAGGAAAACTGGCTGAGTGACTCTGGGCTAATCATTCTCTCTCCGCCTAACCCACCTCACAGGATTGTTGTTGTGGGGGGAAATAAAAGGAACAAGGTGTGCTGGATATTTGCCACCTTGAGTTATTTGCAAAAATAATAAAGGCGAGATACAAATTAAATAAATATTGATGATGACAGAAAGTATCCCAATTTAAATCCTCTCCAGGAATCCTAAGGACTTGTAGAAATAGATATTTATCTTCTGGGAATTGGTGGTCAATTCAGCTTCCTTTCTGGGGACAGAATTGTGAAGAGATGCCATCAAGCCGCCAAATCAAAAAGGAAGAAACAAAAAAATAAACTGTAAAGATGGTGAAGAGCCGCATAAAACCGGTGTGGCTAAGTAGTTGTTTTAATTCTCACCAGTTATGTGCCGTATTATAAAAAAAATAATAAACCAAAGGTTTCCAACGGTTGCTTGCTTTCCAAAAAGAACAGTATAACCGCCAAGCGATTAACACACATCGAATGCGTAAAGATAAAAACAAAATAAAATCTATACGAAGCGAAGGCAAAACAAAGCAGCCACAAAGGACGCTACAAAACAGAACCATTATGGGAACTGAAGACTGGAAGGCAATTGGGCTTGGCAGGTTTCCCAGGAGACAGCACAAGGCGAGGGCTGCACAACTCCAATCCTTTCTTTACACCTTACGTGCCAGGGGAGCGGTGCTGGTGGTGAGTCATGCACAGAAAACAGATTTCATTCACCTGCCAAAGCTGATGATAAATAAAGATGTTGAGGTGTTGTTATTAATTCTTTCGATTGGGGTTGACATTTTTCTCAGCAGGAAGTGAGTTTGGGAAGGCCCAGGCGCCCAATTTCTCTCTGCAGCCCTTCAAAAACAATCTGTCTGCCTGCCTGCCTGCCTGCTTATTCATCTATCTGTCCATCCATCCATCCTTTTCATCCACCCATCCATCTTTTTCATCCATCCATCCATCTTGGTATCTATCACTATCAATCTCTCTCTAATTATCCATCCATCCACCTACCTACCTACCT